TTTTTTGAGGCCCAGCTGACCTTGATCTCACAGAGATCTGCCTGTCTCTGCCTCCTGAATGCTGGGATTAAAGGTGTGTACCACCACGCCCAGCAATAAAATATTTTTTATAAAATTAAAATGAGGGACTAGAGAGACAGCTCAGTGGTTAAGAGGACAGACTGCTCCTAGAGAGGACCCAGGTTCGATTCCCAGCACCCACGTGGCGGCTCACAACTGTCTGTAACTCCAGTTCCAGAGGATCTGATGATGCCTTCTTCTGCCCTCCGAAGGCACTGCATCACATGGGTGCACTTACACACATACAGGCAATACTCATACACATAAAAATAATACTTCTAAAAGTAAAAAAATGAGGAACCTAACCACAGCAGCTGGATGACAAGCTCCCTGCTCAGACCCAGGAAGCTCGGCTCAAGTCGAGCAAAGAGCACCCTCCCTTCCCCTCTGCTTCAAACCAGACTCATGACATGCCCTAGGACTGGACCTCTCTGGCCCACCTTTTCCGAAACCTCAGCCCAATAAGGCACACTTGACAGTTCGGAGGTCAGACCAGGTAGTGTGTGCGGGCCTGCTCACCTGTCAGTGGTGCCAGCCAGGGTGGGGCTCCTGCCTGGAGACCCGGGCATGGTCCTGAGTGACCGTGGGTTAAAACAGGCCCCAACGAGTCCAGGGCTGGGTGCTTTTGCACATGCTTTCCAGGTGCCTCAGAAGGTGGAAGATCTTGGACCAACCAGGGCTCTGGCCTGAGAAACAATCCAATGGGCCTGTATTGAGCACCAGAGCTCTGTGGTGACCACACTGCTCGGCCATCAAAGTGCGATGTTCTGCCAGGGTTCAGAGATGGACAGGGCTCTTCTCCTCCTGGCATCCAGGACAAGAGTGGGAGGGGGCTGGCCCATGCCACTTGGACTTGAAGCCCCACAGCTCTGACTCCTCTGGGTGTTTCATAAATGATCACTCCCTATGGGCAGAGCCTGATGCTGTGCTTTTAATTGTACTCTTTCTAAAACAGCATCTCCTTCCCTGTTACAGTCAGGACAGTGTGATGAAAACCTGCTCTGCCCCCATGGGCCAACAGTGGTCTGGGTTCTGGGGATGCCGCCCAGGCTCTTCACCCTCCTCTTTGGATGCTGTGGCCTTGAGCCAAGGGCAGAGCAGGGCAGGGAGCCTCCACCACAGCCTCCTGGCTGGATGTCCATCACATCAGAAGCACAAGTCCGCCGTGTCTCTCCGGTGGATAGCGACCTGGGGTGCAGGCCCCCTTCAGGTGGACATGGTGCCGTTCTTCTCGCCCTTGACCTTGAGGAACTCTGCCATGCTAGAGAAGTACTTCTGGTTGGCCTCTGCCACCTTCTTCTCAGCTGCTTGTGGGTTCACGATCTCCAGACCCTGAGTGGAGGAGGGACAGGGTAAACCGAGGCACAGGCATCCAAGCCTGAGTTGAGGTTACTCCAACTGCATCAGCCATTTCAAAGGCAAAGACTGGCAGGCTCAGAGACTGAGTCACTGGGATCTGATTCCAAAGTTTGTCTGCAGGCGTCACAGCCATGTGCCACCACCTGTCGCTGCAAACCTTTGGCACTTAAATGTGGCAGGAGATGCAGAAGCTCCTCAGGTGTCAGTTAATAGGGCCTCTACCACAACCCCACCATACCTGCCTCACAAGGCAGGAAGGACACTTGTTCGGGGTCACTCGGGGGCAGGGGTGAAGGGGCCAGCCCAGAGGTGGGCATCCTGACCCTAGGGTGGATGTGGTACCCGGGGTGGCTGTGGTACCTGGAGTGGGGTGAAGGCCACACTGGAGGCTGTCCCTGAGGAGCGGTCACGGATGGTGGACTTCCCGCCATACACCACACTCTGCTTCTGCAGGGTCCGCTGTGGGGAGAAGGAGGCTGTGACTGTGATCCAGACTTAGCAGCTCCACCCGTCCCCATCTCCAACCAGCCCAGACCATACCTGCAGTGTCTTAGAGATCCTGGCTTTTGTGGCCTCATTCACTTGTGTCTGCCGTACACGCCCACTACCTGACTTGCCCAGGTGGCCCAGGCTAAAGCCCAGGTCCTCTTGGTAGGCGTCCTCCTCAATCTGGTGGGAATGGGAGTGGCATGTCAGCAAGCAGCTGGCCACATGCACCCCCTCAGCCCACTGGAAGCCCAAACAGTCTCCAGCTGGCCAGTCTCGTGAGTGTGCACTCAGCCTGGGGCCAACTGTGCTCAATGACGCTGGGAACCCTGTGACGGCTCAGCTCGATTCTGCTTGGGTACTGCTGGGGACCCTGTGAGGAATCGGGCCCTGGTGCTCATTACTGAACTGAGTTGGGTCAGGTCATCTCTTCCTATGTGTAGATTGGGGTGTCAAGAACTGAGATTGTTTGCACTGCTGCGGCAGCACCTAAGCTGATCCTTGCAGGACCAGTTGGATGATGCTCAGATATAGGGTGCAGTGTGTAGGGTCTACAGCAGGGCGTGACAACCTTAAGAAGCTAGGACCCTGCTGAGGAGCTTGGGAGGAGTTGGGTGGGGAGAGCTACAAAGATCACTATCATTGAGCTGGGTAGGTTTGAAGGGAGAGGCTGGGCAGGAGGGAGGAAGCAGGGGTAGCCCTAGATCTGCCCTAGTACTACAGGATAAAAAGATGGGAACCCCAGGGTTCCACAGCTGTTGCGAGAGCACATCTGACCTCTCCGAAGCTCATGCGGTTGGCTTGTTTCCGGATCTCTGTCAGCCCCAGCCGCTCCTTCATCTTGCGGTACCTGGGTTAGGTGGGTAGGGAGAGGGCACAGAGTTAGCCCAGAGGGTGCCAGTCTACCCCTTCCCTACCTGCAGCCCCAGCAGAGCCCATCACCTGCGGCCCCCTCGCTTCTTCCGCTGCCCGTCGAGGGGAGCAGGCAGCGGCTTCACCTGCTTCACAGGCGGTGGCTCCTGCCACTTGTCGAACTTTCGCTCAATCTCATCCTTCAGTTCGTAGCCCACCTGGACAGGGGGTTAGAGAGGCTGGGGCCAGTCATGTGGACTGTTCCCCCCAGCTCACCTATCCATCTACTGTGCATCTGTCCACTTGACAAGAGTACCCTCCCCATGACGCAATCTTCCTCCTGAGGGCTCTCAGGGTTTTGAAGCCCTCTGAAGAACCTGGTGCTCTTGACCCTGCATCCCAGGCTCAGCCCTCTACTGCCTCCATCTAAGTCCTTCAAAGGTAAATGGGCCAGGCAAAATCCCCGTGCATTTCCAGCATTCTAGCCCACTCCCTGGGCCAACAGATAGCACGTCACCTCCACTGTTTTGCTCTCACACCACCCATTCCCTGCCTCTTCCTTGAGAACAGATTGAGCTGTGTTTCATGTCCCTGGGGGTACCTGAGTGTGTAGTATCTGCTCCTGAATGCACAGGATCTTCTCTGTCCTGAGGCTTGCTCTGCTCCACTCAAGGCCTACATACCCTCTGCTAGCCACGTGACTTTCTAACTTCACTGGAGCACATGTTCAGACTTTCCAAAGCTCTTCCTGACATCCTAGCTGAGCAAGCATCTAGCCCTCCTCACTCCCCAGTTCTCCTTATTGTCCTTGGCATTCACTCAGCACTGCTGGAAACACTACAACTTCCTTGGCCTACGGGTGTTTTGGTCCATCTGGAACATAAATGCTGTGTAACACAGATCTACAATCCCAGCTACAAGGGAAGCTGGGGTGGGAGGATCTCAAGTTCTTCAAGGCCTTCCTGGGCTAGAGTGAGGCCCTGTTTCAGAACATTAAAAAAGGGCTGGAAGCTGAATGTGGTGGCCCATGGCAACTGATGAAGAGGTGGGAGGATGCTGCCCTTCTACTGGTCAGGAGCGAGCTTGTCTGCAGTGAGCACTTCCCATGAAAAGACCCAAGCCCCAGGGACAGATGCCTGTTCGTCTTTACCTTCCCCTCTGTGCTCTCATGGAAGCTGTCCACTCGGGCTGCCAGCGTGCACTTGGCGGCCACCAGCCGGGCTGCTTTCCGCCGGAGATCCTGGAGCAGTGGAAAGGAGGGAGTCTGTGTGAGCCCAGACAGAGACAGAGGGAAGGACCTCAGCAGCAGGCACCCCCAGGTTCCAGGAAGTGAGCCTCACACCCATGGGCTCATCCACTAAGTCTCTTGCAGGGTGCACTCCTACCTCCTTGGGTAATACTGAAACCGGGGACAGAGAGGAAGTCGCTTGGCCTAAGAAATCGGACAGCTATAAGGTAGCCAGTGGGAACACGCATCCTAGATATGTGTAGGGACCATCCATCTTATCCAGACTCCAACACCAGGCTAGTCTGATCACCACCCCCACTTCCCAGGGCTCCAAGTCATGCGCTGGGCAAAGAGAGCTGGTCAGTGATGGAGAGGGTTCTAATCCAAGCTGCCCAATTGCAGGGCTCCCAGTTCTCAGCCAGCCCACCACCCATAGCCTATATGCTTGAGCTGACCCAGGTGGGAGCAGAGAAGGAGAGACCCTCTGTGAATGAAGTGGCCTGCTGTGTGCCAGGCTCAGGAGGGTGGTCAGCTGGAGCCTCCGTGCCTGTACCCACCAGCGCTAGGATCCAACACCCACTCCCTGCTCTTGGGTCTGTCTGACTCGGGGCAAGCCATGGGCATCCCTGGCTCTGCTCCACTCAAAGGGCTGCTGTGAGGACCAAAGGAGAAAATGCACATGCAGGGCCCATAATGGGTTAGGAAACGTCCTTTTGCCATTGGCCGTCCACACTGTTGCTCTTCCTATACCTCAAGGGGAAGAGAAGGCTGGTCAAAGTAGGCCACAGACAGACCAGGTCCTGGACCAGGGCCAGCTCTCCCAAGATTTTTGTTTTTCTGAGACAGGAGCTCACTGGCCTTGAACTCCTAATCCTCCTGTGTCTACTCCCAAGTGCCAAGATTGTAGTTGTGTGCCATGCCCAGCCTTAATCTACTCTCAAAAATCACAAACCAGCCGGGGGTGGTGGCACACGCCTTTAATCCCAGCACTCAGGAGGCAGAGGCAGGCGGAGTTCACGGCCTCAAAACAAACAAAAAAAGCCCGGGGGTGGTGGCACACGCCTTTAATCCCAGCACTCAGGAGGCAGAGGCAGGCGGATCTCTGAGTTCAAGGCTATCCTGGTCTACATACTGAGTTCCAGGACAGCTGGGGCTGCAGGGAGACCCTGTCTCAAACAGACAAAACAGACACAAAGGCAGACATGGTGATTCATGAGGAATATCAGGAGTTTGAGGCCTGGGGTTCATTATATCAGACCCTGTCTCAAAACACCGCAGACCCATTTAAGACAAGCCTTTAATCACATTACAAATGGAGATTAAATAATAAAAATAAAAGAACCACCTGTGTATCACTGAAATTTGTGAGGTGACCCTTATTTTAAAAAACACCAAGAGGGGTGCACTTAAAACCCATGGCCAGACTCCATGAATCATCAAGTAAGAAAACTTGCAGTGGAAATAGGAAATAAAGAGCTAACACTGCTCAGTAAGTGTGGTCTGTGAGCTGGGGATGTTCCAGACCTGTGTCCGTTGCCTTAGGCTCCTGTGAGGTAGCCTTTGCTGGGGCCTAGGAGCCTTGGGCTAGGTTACAAGACACTTTCATACTGCAGGGCTGATTCAGACTGGGGTTCTAGTTTGGTTTGCGGCTACCAGACAGGCTAGAGACAGGTCAAACACATGGGCAACTCAATCCTGTCTACAAAATCAGGCCCCAGAGACCCTGACATGGAGGCTTAGAAGAATTTCCTGTTGTCATACGCTGCTCTGGAGAGCAGTGTGCCCTGACCCTGTGGGAAGAGTGGCCAGGAGGCCCTAAGTGCTGCCTTCTCTTGGACTCAGCTGAGCACTCTGGCTTGGTGGGTGTTTATTTGTGCCCCAGCCCGGGAACAAACCCCAAGGACAGTAGCTGTCTGAGCCCTCTTAAGTCCTGGTATCCATCCCACCCGAGAGGTCCTAAGGGATCTGACACAGGATGCGAGCGCAGAGCGCGGCCCCACTGCTGAGTGCTGTTCCTGGAGCTGTGACCTCACTCCTGCTTCCACGCTGCCCTGCCCTCCAGGGTCCTGGGGACTGTCAGACAAGGCATGGGGCTGAGGGCTCACCGGGGGCAGGGACTGCACGATGTCACTGTGGTAGATGTAGCCAGTGTGGGGCAGCACTGAGGTCGATGAGAAGCCAGACAGTGTCTTGCGCTGGGCCCCAAGCAGCATGATGTTGCAGGCAGGCATCTTGGAGAGGTTGGTCAGGCCGCCGGCCACACCTGCAGTGAGAAGTGAGGTCAGAAGAAATACAAGGCTCACGGCTGGGGGCTCCTGTGTGCTGTGCACCTCTGCTTAAGACAAGACTTCACTCTAACTCATAGCAGTCTTCCTGCCCCAGCCTTCACAGGATGTTTGTAAAATTTTTGTTTGAAGTTTTATTTTATGTGTTTGGGAGGGGGGTTCAGGGGACAACTATGTGGAGTGGTTCTCCCCTTCCACTTTTATGGGGGGTTAGGGGATTAAACTGAGGTTGTCAGGCTTGAGTGGCAAGTGATTTTACCCACTGAGATGTCTCTCTGGCCCAGGATCTTTAGAGGGATGGCTAAGGTAAGATGAGGTCCTATGGGCCCTGACTGATCTGATTGGCATCCTTGTGAGAAAGAGATGAGGACAGGCACCTACAGGATACGGCCAAGACTCGGAAGACTGGGCCAAGCAGAGGCTTCGGGAAAAGCCAACCGTGCTGGTACCTTGTCTCAGACTTGGGCGACTTTGACACACTCTGCAGCATAAGAGCCCTGGTCTGAGGGACTCTGAGATCATAGCCCAGTGAGCAAAGACAGTGGCTTTCCACACTCCCCTTGGGAGCCTCTCTCTGATGCAGGAGAAGGAAGGACTGACTACAGAAGTACCTGGGGAGGAGGAACGTACACGGCCAGGATTTGCTTCCCCATCTCACAAGTAAAGCAGGGTCAGAGAGTAGACTTTTCTACTCCCCAGCTGCCCCAGGGTCCAAGGAAGAGCTGGATCTGGGCAGCCTGCTTACCCTGGCTCTACCCAGACAGTTTCTAGACTTCCACTGTATGTCTGCACCAAGTCAGCTGACCCCAGTCTCCAGGGAGAGACATGCTGGAGTCCCTGAGGCCAAACACTTCCCCAAGACCACCCAACCCATCAGTGGACCCAGCCCATAGGACCCTGCTGGGACCTCACCCATGATCTTGGCAGCTGTGGATGCTCCAATGATGATGGACAGGTTGGGCGCAATGAAAGACATCCGGGACTCCACATACTCGTAGATGCGGTGCTTGGAGGCGTTCAGCTCCAGCGCCATGTCACAGGCCTCCTCCAGTCGCTCCAACTCCTCATCTGAGAGCTGCTGCCTGAAACGGGGTGGGGGACAGACCCCAGCTCTGCTGGGTATCTGACTGGTGTCCAGCCAACCTTCGGCTGTGTATGCATGTGTTTGTGTCACTCTGGGGTGATCCCAAGTCCTATCAGCCCAGAGGCCTAGGCACAAAGGTTCCTGGAAATCATAGTTCTCGGGCATTACTAGCCTGGCCAGCCTGGTCAGCCTATGTTGGATGTGCTCCGCCCTCTGGTGGGCCTGCAGTGCCTCACTCTGGGCCTTACATACCCCTGGGTGGTGGAGGCAGTGACGCTGACGACCATGATGGTGGCATTGGTCAGGATCTGCTGCAGGTTTTCGTTGTTCTTGCATTTGTCCAGGCTGTTGCCGAGCTCCTGGGGTAGGAAAGGGAGGGAGAAGTCACAGCAACCTGGGAAGGTACGAGAAGTTCTTTGGCTCCCACAGTCCACAGGTCTCCTCTTGAGGGGGAGGCGGGGAGGGAGGTCCATCTGCTGGAGACCTTCCTTGCCTGTCTCCAGGTTTACAACACCATTGCCTTAAGCATCAGCTCTGCCTGTTCCACTTGGCTGACAGGAAGAGGAACGTGGGCAAACAGCCTCCACGGAAGATGTGCAGCACTGAAGGAGCCTGTAGGCGCACATGTCTGGACACAGACACATGTCTGGTGCTGCCGTCCCGACTTCACGGACACAGGCGGGGCCCTGCTCTTCCATCTCTACCTGCTCCCGCCTCTCCTCCCAGAGAACCCAAAGCCTTCCATATCTGCTGTGCTCTGACCTTTCCCAGCTCCCCTCCCTGCCCCTCCTCACTCTCCCCTGGCTGTTCCCACCCAGAGCCTGTGCTCCTACACAGCTGTGGCCACTGCACCTTTGAATGGCTGTCTATATCAGCCTTTAAATGTCAGTTCAAATGCCACCTGCTTCGACCCCAGCCAGAGGCAGCTCAGGCCAGTGGGGACCAACCCATGAGATGTGTGGTGTGTGAGACGTCCTTGCCAGTGTTTGTCCCGCCCCGATGAGCCGCATTCACACCTCCCTATCATGTCCAACCCAGAGGCTTCGTGGATGCTTGGCCCTTATGTCAAGTGGCCCCAGTTCTTCCCGAGCCTGACTCCTCTCTCCTCACCTTGACAGTACGGATGTAATCCAGTGCGTTGGGGACCAAGGACTCCAGTTCAGGGAATCTCTTCGAGTACTTATCCCGGATAAACTTGTGGATGATGTCTAAGGCAGACAGGGAAGGCAGGTGTCTACTGAGGGGGAGGGAGATGCTGCGGCTTATCCCTAACGTCCACTGCCACTTCTCTTTAGCAAAGGGAAGTCCTGAATCACGGCTTGATGCATGGGCACCAGTACAAAGTCTACAGTGCCTGGCTGCTCTTGATACTACATGTGGGCAGGAATTACTTCTGGTCTCTAAGATAGGAGCTGACACATGCAGATTCCTGATCATGCCCTTAAGAAAAACATCTATAATTGGCTAGGCAGTTAGGGTAAAAAGACCCCAAAGAAAAGTAGCCAGTTTCTTGGGCCTCTTAGCAACATACTCTTTTCCAAAGGCCAAAAATGTCAAAAGTATTTGGGAGCTCTTATCCCTAAAAGATTTCAGGGTTACCTCTTCAGAGGGGGGTGTGTTAGAATAGCAAAAAGCCCCATAAAACAAAGAGTACACAAAGTTGTTCAGGAAAAAGTGATGGGGAGATACGGGAGGAGTTGGAGGGGAGGGAGTGGGCGTGGATTTGATCAAAATACCTTATATGTACGTATGACATTCTCCATAATTTTTTTTTTAAAGTTAGAAAACAAAAATAATAAATAAATAAATAAATAAGTAAATAAATAAATGCATGTCCGCATCCTCCCTCTCCACTGTGCTGGTGGGGAGGTGGAGGTGATGGCTGGAGCATGACACAGGTGGCAGACGGACAAGACAGAGCGTGGGCCTGAAGGCAGTCAGGGTGACTCCAGGCCTGCTCTGCTCAGTCAGCCTTCTACCAAGGAAGAGAAGCATTCCTCTAGATGTGGGTCAGTCTGTTATAGCAGGTGAACAAAGCAACCAGAAGTGGTCCAGGTTCATGCCTGTTCCTTCCCTTGGGACAGGGGAGAGGATGAAACACACAGGGCAAGGTTGTCGCCACGCCACTTCCCAGTACTCACTCAGCTCGTTCTCAATCTCCACAGTCAGGTTGTTGGCATCCACAATGACTCGGTACTCAGGAGCTGCCTCCACTGGTCCCATCACTATGGAGACAGAAGCAGTCCTTGATGGGGTTGATGGACCCAACCCCTCCCAGGTCACATAGCTGGGGGAGACTGGGGCTGAGGTTGGATGGGAGCAAGAAGGAGGGGCTGGAGGGCTGAAGCATGCACAAGGTGTTTGCAGACCTCCCCTGGACCCACATTCCTGCCTCTCATCATTTCCTGTAATCCATTTTCCAGATCAATCTGGTCTTGACCTCATCTTGCTCAAAACAATCCTTCTGTGGCTCCCCACAACCAACCCTGAGCCCAGTGACAAGCTCCTCAGCCTGGTGCCCAAGGTCTCCCACACTTGGAAGCCCCACAAGGACAAGTGCTTGATCTGTTTCCCACAGAGCACAGGAGTCACTCCAAGGAGAACCGCTGATGCTACAGCCTGGCTTCTGCCTTCCTACCCTATCCTCTCAGCCACGAGGCCTGGCTACAGTGTGCTGGGCTGTTTCACCCTGCCCAGCCTTCACATGTGCTGTTTCCTCTCTCTGGAAATAGCCCTCAATCTATTTCTAGATACCTCACTTTGTGCATTAATGACACTGATGGCAGGTGTGGTGGCACACGCATGCCTTTAATCCCAGGCCAGGTATGGTGGCTCCTGCCTGTAATCCCAATGCTTGGGAAGCTGAGAGAAGATGCTTGCTGGGAGCTCAAGGCCATCCTAGGCTGCCTAGTGAGATCCTGGCCAGCCTGGGCTACAGAGTGAGATCCTATCTCCATAAAAAAAAAAAAAAATTATGCCAGGCATGGTGGTGCACACCTTTAACCCCAGCACTTGTGAGGCAGAGGCAGGCAGATCTTTGTGAGATCGAGGCCAGCCTGGTCTACATAGTGAGTTCCAAGCCAGCTGGGGCTACAGGCAAACATGTCTCAAAAAACCCAAAAATAAATTTGTTTATATCTGTATCTATCTATAGATAGATACAGATATAGTTTACAGATGTGAAAAGAGCCCTATAGTTTAGGGAACCCTGAAGTAAATCCTCTCACAACTAGAATGCTTACGACACAGCAAGGACTTAAGCATCAGTTTTACAGTGCAATGTGTATGTATACATTTCCAAGACAGGAGCTTATCCAAGCTGAACTAGACCTCACTCTGTATTCCATGCTGGACTTGAACTCATGATACTCCTGCCTCAGTGCCCTGAGCGATGAGACTAAAGGCAGATGTCACCATGCCCAGGTAAATATTTTGGGAGCTGGGGTGGCTAGAAGAGTGCTCTGGAGAAAAACAGAGATTCAAGCCACAAGGAGCAAAAGAGGCATGGACAGAAGAGAGTACGGGTGAAGAGGCACCTTCTGAGGCTTTGGCTTGCTTGCTGATATATTCTTCAATCTTCATCATGATTTCAGCAAACTGTTAGGGAAGGAGACTAGACTCAGAACCCAAGGCTCCCAAGAAAGAACGGCTATGCCTACTGCCCTTCCTGGGAACTTCTGCCTATGGAGTACCCTCTCACCATCTTGCTGTCCCATAGTTTGGCAATGCTCTTGACCGAATCCCCAGAAAGATCCAGCTGTGTGTCCTCCTGTACATCCTCAATTGTTGGCTCCTCCTCTTCTTCTCCATAGCTTCCTCCTTCCTCTTCTTCCGCCGCCTCCTCAAGATCAGCCAAGAGCTCGTCTGCCAGAGACATCCCAAGACCTGTGGAAAACGGAAAGTGGGGCTGCCCAAAACTGCAGCTAGGCAAGGCCCTACAGGCGCATATACCGAGCACAGTGGCATGCAGGCTCCACTAGGACAGGTGTGTGTCTGTTTGCTCTGTTCTCTGGAGGATGTCTTCAGTTGCTACACATGCAGAACACAGACACACCTCCAAGTACCACCTGCCTTTCCCCCACCTCTAGGTCTCCATGCAATCAGTCCCCTTTGCCTAAAGTGGCTCCCCTTCCCCACTCTGCCTTCAGCTCCCGTGTTCCTTCAGTCTGACCCACACGCCCATTCCAGCCTAAGGTAAGTCGCTTTGTGATCAACACCCGCCCTGCATGTTGGTTCTAAAGCGCCTCGTACGTTGAAGACTACTTAAGTGATGATTAAGTCGGCCTCCCCCGCATCAGTCAAGGTTCTAAGGCAGTAGGGACCGACTTCTGGTTCGGGCCTGTCCCCACGGCCAGACCCAGTAGCTGGGCTTCCCGCCCTCCCTGGGCTTCCCGCCCTCCCTTCCTCTCCATCTCACTCACCGCTTCTATCCCCGCACAACCGTTTCTAAGAAATCCGCTTCCCCAGTGCTGTCGACGCTCTCTGATGACGTTTACCCAGCGCTGCACTCTGATTGGTTACCACCCCCGCGACGTTTCCGGCAGCGTTTGGAACAACAACTTTATTAGCAGCTGACTCGCAGGACGGCGGCAGGACCAGCCGGAGAGTAGGGCTCGGCGAGCTCGCGGGACGCTGCGGACTGAGCCTGCCTGGCGAAGAATCGCCTTGACTCTTGACACGGCGTCGAGACAGGAAAAAAGACGGCAACGACGCAGACGACCGGTGGCGGCGTTAGACGATAACCGGGGCTTCCAGCCGGGACTCGGGGTCGGCTCAGGTGGGGTGGAAGCGAAAGCGGAGGTAGGAAACTACAATTCCCAGAAAGCGCTGGGCTTCTGGAGTTGCATAGCCTGATGGGACTGGTAGTTTTGCGCACGGTTCCTGCTGTCTACCTGAGGTTGAAGTTTTGAGATTTGAGGTGTCTCCAGAGCAGGAGAGATGGAACTGGAGCAGAGAGAGGGGTGAGTGGCTGAGTTTTGGGGTAAACGGGGAGTCCGGAAACGCGGTTGCGTGATGTACACAGATGGGCCCTGGTGCCCTGAGGGGTGATGGGGATGTAGTTCGTGCAGTTGCTTTTCTTTAGAATCCTTTTGGGGTACCTGGAGCATTCCAGGAGAGGAGAAGGCTAGGAGTCTTATGTGGACTCATGGGTCTGATAGGCCAGGAGACTGTGGATTCCGAGGACTGATCCGATTTCTGGATGGAGGGAGGAGGCTGGGGTTTGGACTCGGGTCTGAGAGAGGAGGGACGGGGTCTGGATTCCTAGGTCTGTGTTAGATTGGGATTTTAATATCTGAGGCTTAGGGAAGAGGGTTGGGGTCTGGACTCCTGGGTCCTGGAAGAGGACTGAGTCTGAGGAGAAGGGCTGGAGTCAGGGTTGGGCCTGGACCCCAGGATCTGGAAGAGGAGGACTGGGGCCTGGACTCCTAGGTCTGAGGGAAGAGGGCTTGGGACTGAACACCTGGGTCCGAGGGAGGAGGGCTGGGGTCTGAACATCTTGAGTCTGAGGGAGGAGGACTTGGAGCCTGCAACCCTGGGTATGATGGAGAAGGGTTATGGACCCTTGCGTTTGAGGGCAGAGGACTGGAGTCTGGACCCTGGGTCTTAGGAGGGAGTGCGAGCACCAGAATTCAGGCTTCTGCACCTCCCTGACCTTACAGGACCATGGCAGCTGTGGGCTTCGAGGAATTCTCGGCCCCACCGGGCTCCGAGCTGGCTCTGCCTCCTCTGTTTGGTGGTCACATCCTGGAGAGTGAGCTGGAGACAGAAGTGGAGTTTGTATCTGGCGGTCTGGGAAGTTCAGGACTCCGGGAGCGGGATGAAGAGGAAGAGGCAGCCCGGGGTCGGAGGCGGCGCCAACGGGAACTGAATCGAAGAAAGTACCAGGCGCTAGGTCGTCGCTGCCGGGAGATGGAGCAGGTAGGTGAGTGTGGAGTCCTGTTTAGGGGTCCTTGGCCTAAACTGCCTCCTCTTCCCGGTTCCCACCTGCCTCCATGCCCTCCTGTTCTTGGACAAGCAATCGAATGTTTGTTTACTGGTTTCTCATGTATTCAGCACCCAGTGTGGGTCTTACACTGTGCCCAGTTCTCGAGCACTGTCTCTTCCAGAACATCTGCATTAATTACTTTGCTTGTTGCTGTGACAAAATACCTGAGACAGTGTGAGGAATGAAGGGCTTGTTCTGGCTTGCAAGCTGAGGGTACATCGTGGTGGGGAAGGCATTGTGGCAGGATTGTGAGGCAGCCAGTCACAGTGCATCCATAGTCAGGAAGCAGAGAGAGGCAAATGAATGCCGGTGTCCAGCTTAACATGCCTTTTCAGTCCATCCCAGATTCCCACGTGTGGAATGGCCCCACCAACTTCTAGGATGGGTCTGCCCACGTCAACCCAATCTGAAAATTCCTTCACCGACATGCCCAGAGCCTTGTATCCTGTGTGACTTTAGATCCCATCTTGTCGAAAAGTCAGTATTAACCATCGCCGTGTCAGACACCCATCTGTCCCCCAAAGTGTCATAGGTGAATCTCACACACCTCACTCACTGCAGCCAAGCAGATCCCCTGCTCACCTGAGGCACCCTGAGACTTACCCAGTCTGCCTCTTGAATCTCTCTTGGGTCCTTCCTCCCTCTTCCCTGCAGCCTGTACCTCAGTTTAACTCCTCACAAGTCGTAGCATTTGCTTCCTTGGTAAGGAGAAGGAAGGAGCAGTGGGCAGTGCTCAGATCTCAGTAAGTCAGGAACTCCAGGCAAGAAGTTTGGAATTTTCTGTCTTTGTGTGAGAGAAGGACCTGATAAGGGGCTTTAAATAGAAGGGGTTGGGCGGACAGGGTCAGGTCTCGTTGCTTGAAGGGTCTGTGGGTAGTTGTATTAAGTCTGTCCCGATCCCTGTGATGGAGTACTACAAACTGGTGGCTGAGCAAAATATTCACTTCCTGAGGGTTTAAGAGGTGTGAGGTCTGTGGTCAAGCTGTCAGCAGGGGTGGGGCCTCTGGAGGCTGAAGGAGAATGGGTCCAGGCTTCAGAGACTGCTGGCAGTCTTTGGTGTCCTTTGCTGTGTAGAAGTGTCTCCCCATTCCTTGTCTTCACCCTCCCAGAACGTCCCCCTGTGTGGGGGTCAGTGTCTTAGTTCCTGCTTTCTATGAGGCCAACAGTCATCAGATTAGCTGCCACTCCAGTGACCTCAGGTGGAGTGGGTTACCTCTGAGACCACCTTCGTTCCATACAGGCTCACATTCTCAAGTACTGGGGGTTAGGGTTCCAACATGTCTCTGGGGGCTGCAGTGATAACTGCACAACAGTGGTGCTGACAGGTCCTGGAATGAGAGAAGCTTGGGACCAGGAGCTTGGGGAGGGATTCCAGATGCTGTTTAGGAGGGGGTGCGGTGGCCCAAAAGGGCTCAATTTAAGTCTTTGTTCTTTCTTTAAAGAAAAATATTGTTATTATTATTATTATTATTATTATTATTATTATTTTGGTCTTTTTGAGACAGGGTCTCCCTGTAGCCCAGCTGTCCTAGAACTCAGAAAAATATTATTTTTATTTCATGTATATGAGTGTTATTGCCTGCATGTATGTAAGTGCATCCATGTCATGCAATGCCCACAGAGGTCAGAAGAGGGTGTCAGATCCCCTGGAACTACAGGTGTTTGTTAGCTGCCATGTGGGTGCTGGGAACCCAACCCAGGTCTTCTGCAAGAACAGCCAGTGCTCTTAACTGCTGAGCCACTTCTCCAGCCCCTGTCTTTATTTTTTAGACAGGGTCTCACTGTGTAGCTTTGGCTGACCTGGAACTCACTGTGTAGACCAGGCTGACCTTGGACTCACAGAGATCTATTTGTTTATTTGTTTGTTTGTTTATTTATTTTCTATGTGTATGAGTGTCTTGCTTGCATGTATGTAAGTGCACCATCTGCATGCAGTGCCTGTGGAGGCCAGAAGACAGAGTTGGATTCCTTGGAACTGGAATTACAGATGTTTGTTAGCTGCCATATAGGTATGCAGCCAGTGCTCTTAACTCCTGAGCCATTGCTCCAACTCCACATTATAGTTTAATACTGATTTTTTTTTGAGAATCTCATACATGAATATTACGCATTTTGATCATATTCATCCCCATTCCGTCCCCACCTCCTCTCAGATCTATCCCCATCCCCCTAGAGATTTATTTTTATTAATTATTTGTCTCTGTGTGAATGTGCATGTGTGTATGTAGGCATGTGTGTGCGGGTAGCCACAAAGTCCAGAGGGGGACATTGGATCCCTTGTAGCCGTTACAGGCTTTTATGAGCTGCCCAGTGTGGATGTTGGGATCTGAACTCTCATCCTCTGATAGAGCAATTAAGTGCTTTTAGCTGCTGAGCCAGCTCTACAGCCCCAAAGCCTGTTCTGAGTCCACTCCCCTAAGAAGAGACTCTGTTGAGGAGACAGACTCTCAGGAACCCAAAGCTCAGGTTGAGTAACCTGCCCAAGTTCGTACAGCTGGTAAGTGGAAGGGCCACTTGGCCAAATCATATCTCTTCTCCATGTCTAGGCCAGGGTCCTCAGAAACCTCAGGAGCTCTTCTCTGACCCTGGAGTGTTTTCCTCCTGGCCTGTCACTCATCCCCTGCCATCATGTGGTCTTAGCCCAAAGTTCTCCTCATGGCTCTTAGTACAACACAGCATCCACCTGGCCTCACCTGGCACATCAGATGGTTTCCATCAAACCTTTGTCAATTCTTTTATTAGCTATTCATGTATTGCTGTGCGCACAGTGCCCCACAGAAACAACTGTAGGGAGGAAAGATGTATTTAGTTCATGGTTCAGGGGGTTTCAGTCCACTACAAGGAACACTTGGTGGAGCAACTCTGTTGGTGGAGGCGGGAGCATGTGGCGGAGGCTGTTCACATCACAGCAGACAGGGAGCAGGGAGAGAGGCAGGACCCAGAGGCAAGATGTAACCTGCACAGGCCCAGTCCTTGTAGCCTATTTCTGTTAGGCAGACCCCACTCCCAAAGTTTCCAGAACCTCCTACCACCAGCTGAGGACCAAGCATTGAAAACTGAGCCTGTGAGAGATGTTTCAGATTCAGAGAAAAAGTCCTTTGGTTATTCATCCAGCGCGGGTCAACTGGCTGTGCCAGGCAAGTCTGCTAAGGCTCTAGGCTCTGGCATGTCACCATCCTGGGGAGCCTGTGTTGTGGATGGTAAGACAGACAGACAGCAAGTGGAGTGGACAAGGTGTGAGTGTTAAGGAAAATAAGAGTGGGTAGATTGACAGGGTTCTGGCATGAGAATTGGCGAGGTGGTGTCACAACCAAGGCCATTTCCTGAGCAGGTGACATTTGAACTAAGACTTGACAGTCAGGAGATTTAGACTAAAGAGAAGACTAACGAGGTGTGGTGGTACACGCCTTTAGTCCCAGCACTCATGTGGCAGAGGCAGGCAGATCTCGGTGAGTTCAAGGCAGCCTGGTCTACATAGTGAGTTCCAGGCCAGCTGGGGTTAGAGGGAGACCCTATCTCAAAAAGACCACCCCCTCCAAGAAAAGAGAGAGAAGACTATGGAAAGCTCCTGGTTAGGCTAGGTGTGCACTCTGGGGAGTCGGATGGAGGCCAGCATGCTTGGGTAGGGGAAGGATAGATGAATTAGGGTCTCAGGTGCTGGATTGTCTCCATGGAGCCTGGTACAGCGAAGGTGCTCCATACTCAGTAAATGAAGGGGAGAGTGGATGGAACCCAGTGACCTGTGCTTCCTCCCGCCTCCCTGCAGGTGAACGAGCGGGTCTTGAACAGGCTCCATCAGGTGCAGAGGATAACTCGGAGACTCCAGCAGGAGCGCAGGTACCGCCTTCCCCATGTCCCGTGCGGCCCCGCATTCCCACCTCTTCTCCACCATTAACATCTCCCGTCTACCCAGCCCTCACAGGCCACAAGGCTGGAGACATGAGCCCAGAATGACATGAATGGCAAAGTGGAATCGGTCTTGGGGAGATGAGCTGGGCCTGGGGCTGCTCCCTGTGAGGAGGGAGATGGCAGGAAGGAAGCAGCGCAGCACGCTCGTACTGTGACTCCAAGCGGGGCAGGTGTCATCTGCTCTCTGAGCTGCATCCTCCGGTCATTAAGGGTGGCAGCAGCCTCAGGAGGCTGCAGCGAGGGCTGAGCTGGAGTTCACTGGGAGGAACTCAAGGCAGTGCTTCCTGCAGCTGGCTGCACTGGCATCACCATGACCAGGAGGCCTTGAGCCCCACAGCCACTATGTCCCAGTGAAACAGGAACAAGCCTTGTGATGCGGAGCTCCGTGAGGCCAGGGCCACCCAGTACTTCCACCCCAGCTCACACAGCTTGGCACTCAGACCCTCCCTCTCAGAGCCCTTCCTAATGCTCTGCTCTTCCTGGGCTGTTCCTTCTTAGCTCTCTGCTGGCCCATCTTCACAGTCCCAGACCCTCATCCAGCAGTCGGTTCCCCAGGACTCTGTCCAGTATGGTAGCTGCTGCCTACAGGCAGCTTGCTTATATTTGATTCATTCAAATTAAATTTTAGGGGTTAGAGAGATGGTTCAGGTGCTGAGTACTTGCTGGGGTACCTGAAGAGATGGCTCAGTGGTTAAGAGCATGTACTACTCTTGAAGAGGACCCAAGTTCAATTCCTAGCACCCATGTCAGGCAACTCACAACTGTCAGTAATAACTCTAGTTTCAGGGAATCTGACACCTCTGGCTTCCAAGGGCACCTGCACTCATAAACACCCCTCCCCAAAATTAAAAATAATAAAAATGAATCTTTTTTTTTGGTCTTTTTGAGACAGGGTCTCCCTGTAGCCCCAGCTGGCCTGGAACTCACTATGTAGACCAGACTGGCCTTGAACTCACAGAGATCTGCCTGCCTCTGCCTCCCAAGTGCCGGGATTAAAGGCATGTGCCACCATGCCCAGCATGAAAATGAATCTTACAAAATAAAAAGAGCACTGGCTGCTTTTGCAGAGGACTTGGGTTCAGATCCAGCACCTACATGGCAGCTCACAGTCGTCTGTAACTCCAGATCCAGGGGATGCATGTCCTCTGTGGGCTGCTGCATGCACATGGTCCACGTAAACTCACGCAAACCTACACTCACATGAAAAAAATGAATAAATTTGAAAATTTTTAAATTTCATTAAATTGTTATTGAAAATTCTGTTTCTGAGTGGCTTGAGATACACAAGGGCTCTGTTAGTCACATTTTTACTTAAAGTCTGATGGCACAGGACTGTAAAGTGTTCAGGAGGCCAAGGCAGGGGAAATCAGCAGTTAAAGGCCTACCTGGACTACAGATTCAAGACCAGCCTGGGCAACTTAGTAAGACCCTATCTCAAAAACAGGCCCAGGACCAGGCATGGTGGTACACACTTCTAATCCTAACACTTGGGAGGCAGAGGCAGGTGGACCTCTGAGTTCAAGGCCAGCCTGGTCTACACTGAAGGTTCCAGAGCAGCCAGGGTGGTACAGTGAGAACCTGTCTCAAAACAAAACAAACACGGGGCTGAAGAGCTGCCCCAGCAGTTAAGAGCACTGGCTGCTCTTGCAGAGGACCTGAGTTCAGTTCCCAGCACCCACATGGCTGCTAACAACCATCTGTAACTCCAGTTCTAGGGGATCCAACACTATCTTTTGTCCTCAGGCATTGTGTGACACAGGTGCATTTATATACATGCAGGAAAAGCACTCTTACACTTTAGATAAGAGGGCTGAGCCCACAGCTCAGTAGGCGTGTTTGAAGCATGTTTGAGGCTGGGTTGAGTCTCCAGTACCACTAACAAAAAAGAGCTGTTGAGTGTTTGCTGGATTCAGACTGTGTACTTGGAGACTGTCTGGGACGTCACAGCATCTAGCCCAGCTAAGCTTTTCCCAGAGCAGGAGAGTGAGGGTTGGTCGGGTTCTCAGGCTGCAAAGCTGCCAGACCTTTCTGCTTCAGAATAACTTTGGCTTCCAGTAGAGTGAGACTGGGCTCTGCCTTCCATCCCTCTCATGGAAGGTAGGCTGTCTCAGTGTCCAGACATCTCTGTCTCCTCAGATTCCTCATGAGAGTACTGGACTCCTATGGGGATGACTACAGGGCCAGCCAGTTCACCATTGTGTTGGAGGTAAGTGCTGGTCTCCAGGAGGGTTGGGGGAACCAGGGCCCAGGACAGTCTTCAGTCACTTCTCCCTTGCACACTACTAGGACGATGGCAGCCAAGGCACAGATGTCCCCACCCCAGGCAATGCTGAAAACGAGCCTCCAGAGAAAGAGGGTCTGTCCCCACCCAGAAGGACACCTGCACCCCCAGAACCCAGGAGCCCAGCCCTTGGCGAAGGACCCAGTGGGCGGAAAAGGCGGCGGGCACCACGGGATGGATGCCGAGCAGGGGCTGGGCTGACCCCAGAACTGGCCCCAGTGCAGGTGGGAGCCGAGGGCTGGGGCCAAGGCGCGGTGAGAATCCTGGACAGATCCTTGAGGAGGGGTGCAGGGCCAGGGAGGCCTGGAGGAAGGGCAAAGCAGGAGGGGTTGAAATCAGGACAGGGAAGAAGATGGGGAGGTCAGGCTTGAAGGACTGCAAAAGACTGGGAGCAGAGGGAGGAAGGGGGAGGAGGACTGCAGAAGACTGGGAGCAGAGGGAGGAAGAGGGGAGGCAGGTAAGGGTTGGGAGACCCTGGGGTTGCCTCTTGACTACAGGAAGTCATCTGACCTGGGAAGCCAGCACCCACAGGCTGGCAGGGTGGGGGTCTTCGTGGTCTCCAGAACCACTCACGCCTTGTTCCTCATCTTCCCAGATTAAGGTTGAGGAAGACTTTGGCTTCGACGCAGATGAGGCCTTGGATTCAAGTTGGGTTTCTCGAGGGCCAGACAAACTGCTATCCTACCCCACCCTAGCCAGCCCACCCTTTGATTAAGCTTCCCTCCCCAATAAAGACTCCCCTCCCCCCACATTTGCATAGGCCACTGTCTGTTTCTCCCACCTCTGATCATACTCAAGGCTCTGGGGTTGGAGGCAGAGGCAGGAAGATTTCTGTAAGTTTGAGGCCTGCCTGGGCTACATAGTGAGACTTTGTCTCAAAAAACAAAGAAGAAACAACAAAAGAAACCCACTAAAGAAGACAAGACTGTGGGGCTGGATTTCACATTTTTATTGGGGGCCACAGGAGAGGAGCCTCTTCAGTCACTGCAGAATTCACAGGTCCTTCAGCCACTTCAAGCTTGGACCCTCAGGGTCCTGGGGGTGGCTGGGCACATCAGGCATGTTGCTGTCATCTCTCAGGGGCACTGTAAGGCAAGAGGGTGGGCCATTAAGACCACCAGATCTCCAGGGTCCTGCAGAGAACTCACCTTTCAGTTTGTCTTCAGGCTCAGAAAAGGGGAATTGGAGGTGGGGGTGTTGAAGATCAGAGACTCAGCAGCGACATGGCAAGGGAGGGATGGAGGAGCCCAGAGAGGAACATGGAGAGAGAAACTCAAGCACGGGTGGACAGGGAGCACCTGGATGCGCTATGGACTCTTCACCCCCACCCCCAGCCATGTTTGCCCCTCTTCAGCACAGGTCCCTGCTCACCTGGGTAGTTGTAGGGTGTGGCCTCGTTGATCATGATGGCATACTTGGTGTAGGGGCTGAGTGGCGGCAGAATTAGAGCTGTGGAGAGACACAGGGTGAGGCCCAGAGACAGAGCGGCTCTTGGGACAGGTGGGGGACATGTAGATAGTGTGTTTCAACAAAGGGGAGGAGGAAGGACCAGCACAACCAGGAGGACCCTTTGTTTTGTGGGCCCCTCAGCACCCTGTCACCTCCACTTATAGGTCAGTGTAAATCTTTGGGGGAGGAGTAGGGTAGAGGTCGGAACCCAACACTCAGGAACACATGAGGAGCACTAATATGGGAGCATTTGTCTCAGTCCATCTAGCCACAGCCAAGAGTCCTGGGGAGGGGAGTAGGTTGTGTAAAGGGGGCATTCTAGGTCAGTGATGTTGATGCTAGGATAACAGCTGTCATTTTACACTTTCAAGTACATGTTTTAGGCCGGGCGTGGTGGCACACCTTTAGTCCCAGAAGGCAGAGGCAGGCGGACCTCTGAGTTCGAGGCCAGCCTGGTCTACATAGTGAGTTCCAGAAAGCTGGGGCTACAGGGAGACCCTGTCTCAAAAAGACCAAGTATACATGTTAAAAGGGGAGCCAGGGGCTGGAGCGATGGATCAGCAGTTACGAGCACTTGCTACTCTTCTAGAAGACCTAAGTTGGGCTCCCAGCACCCATGTTGGGCGGTTCACAACTGCGTGTAACTCCAGGAAAATCCAGCACCCTCTTCTGGCCTCCACGGGCACCTGCACACATGTGGAATACACTCACACAAATCTTATTTAAAGAAAGGGTAATGGGAGCTGGGCATGCATGTCTCTAATCTCAGCATTCTGAAGGCAGAGGCAGGTGGATCTCTTAGGAGGTCAAAGCCAGTCTGGTCTACATAGTGAGTACAGGCCAGCTGGGGCTACAGGAAAAAAGTAGTCAGGTGTGGTGATGCATGCCTTTAATCCCAGCACTTGGGAGGCAGAGGCAGGTAGATCACTTGAGTTCAAGGCCAGCCCAGTCCATTGAGAGTTCTAGACTCCATAGTGAGAGAGAAAAAAGGTGTGTGTCAGGGAGAGGATGTGTAGCTAGGGGTGGCTGATGCCTGTAATCCCAACACTTGAGGTCAAGGCAGGAGACAGCTGAGTTTGTGGCCACCTTGGGCTAAATGGTTCCAAGCTCATCCTGGGCTACAGTTTTAGTCCCTGTCTCAAAAACTCCAACACCGCCCCCCCCCCCAAAAGTACAAACTGAAAAGATACTGTAGCAATCAACCCACACATACAAATAAATAAATGTAATTTAAAGTACAATATTGAACCTGGTGTACCCCAATCACCCACTGGTAGTGTACATACTTTTGAGCATACTAAGTCTTTTTAGTTGGGGTGGTGTGTGTGGTTCCTGGGAGGTTCTAGGACCCCATCATCACACTGCCTGGCCTCTGGGTCAACAGTACTGACAAGAACTGGGAACTTGTGAAAAAAGGTCAATTCCCAGATCTCATCCCAGACCTACGGAATCAGAACATCATTTAACAAACCCCAGGCCCTGGGGTTTCAGTGAACCTCAAGTGTGAGCAGCCCTATCCAGGGCAGAGATTCACCCAGATTTGCAAAGACAGACTTCCCCGATCCCCTCCCCAAGCCAATTCTGTGCACCATCTGGGGTTGTTTAGCATGAGGGTGTCCAGGTACAACCAGGGTAGAGCATGCACCTCTTGCCCAGATGCATGTGTTGGCTGGGGTTCCTGAGGGAGGGGGTGGGCAAGGGGACACAAGGTGACCGGCGTGGGGTGATGCAATGCTGCTGACCCCGGGGCAAAGGTGCACATCCGACACTGGGGTACTTACCAAGGCCCCCCACGGCGAAGGACACGACCAGCACCGGCTCCTTGGCCCATGCATTCTTGAGGAACGCGGCCAGTCCTGGAGAGAGGGGCGAAGGGTCACCCTGGGGGGCTGCGGCGGTGACCTCTAACCCTCTCGTGACATCCCCGCTTTGGAAGAGCACCCTGGTGACGGCCGCGTCCCCCCCTCTGGGACGGACCCCATTGCATTCGGAACCGCCCACGGGCTCCTGGAACTAACCTAGCCACGCGCACCAGCCCCCCAGCCCTGAGCCTTCACTTACTCCCGGCCATCTTGGTCTTAGCGGCGACGAGAGCGCAGAGCACTCTGGGAGTTGTGGTCCCTGTGCGAGGCGCGCTGCCCGCTTGGGCTGCGCGTGCGCCCTAGGATGGAAGAGCCGGGGCAGAAGCGTAGGCGTGGAGCCTTGTGGGAGTTGTAGTCTGCGTGAACTGAAGTCCAAGGCCACAAGAGGAAAGATTGAAACCAGAAGGACTTTGCACACCTGCGGGCGTCGCCGTCTTCTCTCAGCCTAGAAAACGCTCCGGAGTTACTTCGAGTCCTCCGGCGCAACCCACCATAAGGGTGCTGGATCATCCACATTTTAGAATTTGTTTATGAAATTTCATTTTACATTTGAGGTCGCAGTATCAGGTCATGCTGCCAGCGCTACCTTTCGCCCTCATGGTGCGTTGTGTTACTAACATGCAGTTAACGTCACTTTTTATTAATTTTTTTTATGTGTATGAATGCTTTGCCTGCATGTGTATAAGTGCATCGTGTCCTGCAGAGACCAGAGGAAGGCGTCAGGTCCCTTGGAGTTATGAATGTTGATGTGGGTGCTGGGAATTGAACCTGGGTCCTCTGCAAGAGCAGCCAGTGCTCTCAATCACTAAGCCATTTCTCCAGGCCCCACATTACTTTTTCTTTCAGTGCTGGAGAGAAACCACGGCCTCAGGCATACTAGGCTAACTCTTGACCGACTCCTCACTGATGGATTCTGGGCAAACAGCCTACCTTGAACCACACCTCCAACACCTCGCTGATGATTTCCAAACCACACCCCAGTCCCTCACTGGTGGATCCCAGGCAAGTCCTTTACCATTGAACCAAGCCGCAAAGTCCCTCACTGCTGATTTCTAGGGCAAGTCGTCTACCACTGAGGGTCTCAGTAAGTGATTCAGGCTGATCCCACAAGCTATCTGTAGTTCAGACAAGCCTTGAATTTGGGATCCTCCTGCCTCGGCCTTCTGAGCAGCTGGGATTACAAGCCCGTATCATCAGGACTAGTGCATATCACTTTAAAAAAATGTATATTTAAAACTCATCTGGCCCGAGTCTTTCAGTGAGACTGGGACTGTGGGAGCAGTAACAGAGTCTGAGCCTTCTCTTTGTTATCAGCATGGTGTGCCAAGGATATAGGTGCTCTTTCTTCCTTTCCTCCTCCCCTTCCCCTTCCCTCTCCCCCCCACTTCAGTAGTGGGAATACAGCACATCACCTGTGCTAGGCAAACACTTTCAAATTTAACTACACCCCCCAGCCCCTAACACACTTCTAAGTTGAATTAATGAGCAAGAGTTTATGACTGTTTCCTCTTTCAACTTTTTCCAAGACATTGGGACTACGACACAGTTACCCGCGGGCGCCCCACCTGACTCCTCTCTTCCCTAAACAGGGCTTTCACGTGGCTTTCTGGAAGTGCTTCATTTCCTGGGAGGGCAGAGAGTACGGCCAACCTTTTCTCCAGCTCCACGGAGAGTGCCCGTGATGATTCTGGTTCGGATACTCCTGCTGAATCTCTGTGAGCTGCCCCTTACTCCTTGTGGGTCCCTGGCCAGGCTCAGAGCTGTAGTTGGTCATTCGAGACTCAATTCACAATTTAGAATAAGGGGTCAGGACTAGGATGGACCCAGATGACTGGGTCCTAAGCAAGAGAAGACAGATTCCTGGAAGGCTCCGGGGTGGGGGCAGTTTTACTGGACTCAAGGCAGGAAGAGGGTAGGGGACACCTGAGGTCAAGGATTGTACTACATTCTCATGGAAGGGGGCATGGATTCCTGGCTCTGGAGGGAGGAGGATGAGCAGACTTCCAAAACCCAAGGAGGAGAAATTATAGGAGCAGATTATGTCCCTTGGAAAGATGGGGCCCATGAGCCTCACCTCTTGGGTCTGAAGGAGAGAGGGAGCTGGGATCAGACATTTGGCATCCTAAGTAGATAGGGGATTGAAGTCTGGATTCCTGATTGCTAGAGAGGAAGGGAGGGATAGGATTCCTGTTTTCCAGAGGAAAAAAAGACTTTGGAATCAAATTCTAGGGCTTCTAATGATGCAGGACTGGTAATCTTGAAGGGCTTTGTAAAGAACTGGCTCCTAACCTTCCACAGGGCCTGTGTGTCACATGGACTTCACACCATTTGGTGAGTAACCCATCCCAAATGTCCTTATTTTTGTGTTGGCACCCGAGTGGCAATCACTCAGATTTTTTTTTTTTTTTGTCTTTTTGAGACAGGGTCTCCCTGTAACCCCAGCTGTCCTGGAATTCACTGTGTAGACCAGGCTGGCCTTGAACTCACAGAGATCCTCCTGCCTCTGCCTCCCAAGTGCTGGGATCAAAGGTGTGCGCCACCACGCCTGGCTCCAACCACTCAGATTTTATTTTGATGCCCAACCTCACCCCAGATTTCCTTATTTCCTTTCCTCCCTTCCTCTTTCCTCCTCCCTCCCTTCCTCCTTTCTCTTCCTCTGTCCTTCCATTCTTTCCTTTCTCCTTCTTTGCTGCAGTCCCTTCTCCTCCCTCCCTCCCTCCCTTCCTCCCCTCCGTTCCTCTCTTTCCCTCCCTTTCCCTCTTTTCCTCCCTCCCCTCTTTTCTTCTCCACCCCTTTCCCTTCTTCCCTTCCCCTTCCCTTCCTGTCCCTCCCCTCTCTCCTCCTCCTCTTTCTTTCCTCCCTTTAGTAACCAGTATAGGTGAGTATTGGAGACCACGAATTTGTATGCTAGGGAGACCCAAACTAGACAGTCTTATTTATTATGTGACCTTGAACAAACCATGGCTCTTAAAGATCCAATTTCGCTTCCCTCACTGGAACCTGCTTTCCACGGGAGGGTCCCCTTCTCAAGATGCTTTCTTCCCAGGCTTTCAAGGCATGAGACTTTGACTTTCTCTCAAACTTTCTCCCATGATGCTCTAACTTCAAAGGAGAATTAGCCAAATCTGAGTTATCAATTTATTTTAAATTGGTTTTAAGTTTTTATTTAGTTTTTATTTATGTGTATGTGTGTGTGCCTGCTTGTCTCTATGTGCACCGTGTATGTACAGGTGCTCACAGAGGCCAGAAGAGGGTTCTGGATCCCCTGGAATTGGAATTACAGGTGGTTGTCAGCCACCTGATATGGGTGCTGAGAACCAAACCTAGGCCCTCTGAAAGAGCAGCAGGTGCTCTTAATCACTGAGCTGTCTCTCTGGACCCTAAATTAGCTCTTTAAACAATGATAAACACAATCTATCAGTGTGTGGTGGCACACTCTTAATCCTGGTACTCAGAAGGCAGAGACGGGTGGATCTCTGTGAGTTCAAGGCCAGACTGATGTACATAGGAAGTTCCAGGCCAGCTGGGGCTACAGGAAAACCCAGTTTCAAAAAGACAATAAAGAAAGAAATAAACAGACAAACCCAGGGCAGGTAAGATGGTTCATAGGTAAAGCTGCTTGCCACCAAACCTGATCACTTGAGTTCAATCTCCAGGGCCCACATGGTAGAAAGAGAAAACCTACTCCTGAAAGTTGTCTTCTGATTTCTATATGCACTCACACGCACAAACAAATATAGGTAAAAATAGGGCTGGAAGGATGGCTCAGCAGTTAAGAACACTATTCTTCCAGAGAACCCAGGTTTGATTCCCAGCTCCTACATGGCAGCTAACAACTGTCTGTAACTCCAGTTCTGGGTGATCCGACGCCCTCTTTTGGCTTCTGTGGGCATTGCATGCACTTATATACCTTCAGCAAACACTTATACAACATAAAATAAAAATAATAAATAAAATATTTTAAAAAAGAAAGGCAAATGATAAACCCAATATGTTTTCACAGTTATAAAAATTTAGTTATGTAGCATGGTGGTGCATGCATGTAGTCTCAGCCCTTGGGAGGCAGAGGCAGGCAGATCTCTGTGACTTCAAGGCCACACTGGTCTGCATAGTGAGTTCCAGGGCAACTGGGGCTACAGGAAAACCTGTTTAAAAAAAAAAAGACCAAAAAATTTAGTTATGGCTGGATGTGGTAGTGGACACCTTTAATCTCAGCACTCAGGAGGCAGAGGCAGGGAGATCTCTGTGAGCTTGAAGCCAGCTCTCTACATAGCTAGTTCCAGGCCAGCTAGAGCTACATAGTCTCAAAAAAATTAGTTATTACCAGAAGACATCTAACAGTCTTCCGCTTGTCCCTCCCCGTCATTCTTGAACAAACCTCAGAATCTTAAAAGTACTTTCCACAGTTGACATACACAGTGCGTTTGTGGACTTCCTCTTTTTCCGGCCAGATCAAAATTGGTACTTCGTGATTCATTCTATTCTAAGTCTTAAATGTTTTCCTTTATGATATGTCTTGGAGATAGTTCAATATCATTATAGTTGTTTTTACTTTTGAGTGCTGCCTAGCATTTGTCACTATGTGAATGTCTGGATTCCACTTGGCTTGACCATCCATTCCTCTTTGGTGGACATTTAGGTTGTTTCCAATTTCTTACCCTCACAGTGAATGCTTCAAAGGACACTTCTGTACATGAATATGAATCTGTCTAGGGCGAAGCAGTGGAATCATTGGGTCATTGACCATGTCCTCTTTTTGTTGTTCATACATACTATGTATGAACTGAAACTATGGCCTTGTATATAGTGAGTTAGAGCTCTACCACTGAGCCACACCCCCTGCCCCTCACTGGGGGATTCTAAGCAGGTGCTCTACCTAGCTGAACTATGCCCCTAGCTCCTCACTGGGGATTCTAGGCAGGTGCTCTTCTACTAAGCCATGCCCCCAACCCTTTACTGGTAGATTCTAGACAGGTGCTATAGCTTTGAGCCGTGCCCCCAGGAACTCACTGGGAGATTCTAGGCAAGTGCTCTGCTGATGAGCTATACTCTCAGTCCCTCCCACTCTCCAGGAGTGCGGAAGTGCACCACCATACCCAGCTATTCTCTTCCATCACCTCTTTAAAAAAGTCCAGCATTACTTTTCTTCGAGACAGGGTCTCCCTGTAGCCCCAGCTGGCCTGGAACTATGTAGACCAGGCTGGCCTTGATCTCACAGAGATCCGCCTGCCTCTGCCTCCTGAGTGCTGGGAATAAAGATGTGAGTCACTAAACCTGGCACACGGTTATTTTTAGTTATGTGTATGGGTGCATGTCTGTGTGGGGTATATGCACATGAGTGCAGGTGCCAGAGGTCTTGGATTGCCCTAGAGTGGAATTTCACATAGTGGTGAGCTGCCCTGTGTTGGTGCTGGGAACTGAATTCATGTTCTCTGCAATGAGCCAACTCTCCAGTTCCCTATTCTAGGTACCTCTTAAGGACCCACTTCTCAACATTATTATATTATAGATTAAGTTTCCAGCTAGCCATGTTGGCACATGCCTTTGATCCCAGTACTTGAGAGGCAGAGGCAGGGGGATCTCTGTGAGACCCAGGTCAGCCTGGTCTAAATAGTGAGTTCCAGGCCAGCTGGGGCTACAGGGAGACCCTGTCTCAAAAAGAAAGAAGCAAGCAAACAAACAACAAAAAATTAAGTTTCCAACACATGAACATTGGGAAACACATTCAAACCCTAGCACTAACTATTGAAATACATTGCAAACAATAATTGCTTCTAGCTGGGTGTGGTAGTGTAGGCCTGTCACCTCAGTACTTGGGAAACTGAGGCAGGAGAATTGCATGCGTAAAGCTAGCTTGGACTACTAGTGAGTTCTTTTTTAACATTTTTATTATTTTTATTTTATTTGTATGAGTGTATTGCCTGCATGTATGTGAGTGCACCCGTGTCATGCAATGCCGTGGAGGTCAGAAGAAGGCTTCGGAGTCCACTGGAACTGGAGTTAAGGATGGTTCGTAGCCACCATGTGGGGGTGCTGGGAATCGAACCAAGGTCCTCTGCAAGAGCAATCAGTGCTCTTAACCACTGAGCCATCTCTCCAGCCCCTACTAGTGAGTTCTTGAACAGACTGGGCTACGTAGTGAGGGCCTGTCTCAAAAGTATCAGTAATAAAACAAAAGAAAAAAAAGTATCAGTAATAATAGAATAAATAAATAGCCATTCTGGGCTATGACTCTTTGAAACTATGCTTTAAAATTGTGGAGAAGGGGCTGAAGATGTAGTTCAGTTGGTAGAAGGCTTGCCTGGCATGCACAGACCCTGGTTCATCTCCAGCACTGGATAGATTGCGGGGGGTGGATTAAGGGGTAACAGTCCTGTGGTGGAACATGCTTATTATTCTAGCGCTCAGAAAGTGAAGACAGGATGATCAGAAGTTCAAGGTCATTTGCTGGGGCTACACATGACCTTGTCTCAAAAAAAAATGTGGAGGAAGTTTAAGGCTGTATCTCATGGAAGAGTGCTCTCCCAGAAAGCACAAGGCCCTGGGTTTGAGCCTTAGCATAAACCAACCAACCACAAAAACTATGTGCAAAAACTCAGAAGTCAGTCTCCTCTTCTGATGGGCAGCTAGTTTTGGACAGCTTTTTGAAATTTTATTTTATTATTATTTATTTTATTATTTTTATTTTATTTTATGTGTATGAGTATATTGCCTGCATGTGTGTAAGGGCACATGTGTTGTGCAGAGAGGGCATTGGATTTCCCTGGAATTGGAGTTACACTGGCTGTTAGTGGTCATGTGGGTGCTGAGAACCAAACCTGGGTCCTCTGCAAGAGCTGTCAGGGCTTTTTTTTTTTTTTTTTTTTTTTTTTTGGTCTTTTTGGAGACAGGGTCTCCCTGTAGCCTCAGCTCACCTGGCACTCACTATGTAGACCAGACTGGCCCCAAATTCACACAGGTCTGCCTGCCTCTGCCTCCCAAGTGCTGGGATTAAAGGTGTGGGTTACCACCCATGGCTAGCCAGTGCTCTTAACCGCTGAGGGATCACCCCAGTCCCAAGTTCTGCAGAGCCTTGATTGTGGTCCAGCCCCACTTTATAGACACCCAAGGTCAAGACAGAATGGAGTTTGTCCAAAGTGATCTTTCTCTTCCAACTTTCCCTCTTCTGCTGGGGTTCCCCGGCTCCTGAGGACCCAAGCACCCTTCTTTGTTTGGTCCCCCCAGCTTCATACCCCCAGCCTTGGCTGGGGGCTCAGCCTGCTACAGTTGTGACCCCTGGGGTTAACGTGACCTTGAGGTGCCGTGCACCCCAACTGGCCTGGCAGTTTGCACTCTTCAAGACTGGAGTCCTCACCCCACTGCTCCTCCAGAATGTGTCCTCAGAGCTGGCTGAGTTCGTCCTGGAGCACGTCACGCCGGCCCAGGGGGGCAGTTACCACTGCTGCTACAGCAGGACAGATTGGGGACAACGGGTCTGGTCCCAGCCCAGCGATGCCCTGGAACTGTTGGTGACAGGTGAGGTTCTGGAGGAAATGGAGAGGGCAAAGGGGTGAGACAAGGAAGGGGACAGGAGGAGATGGGGACATTCGTGAACATACAGAGAGAAGAGGGTGCGCTTCCTGCAGAGAGAGGGAGAAGACAAGAGGGAAGAGGAGGACTAGAAAGGAGGAGGGAGAGGATTAGAAGGGGGAAGAGAGGGACTAGAAGGGAGGAGGGGGAACTAGAAGAGGAGGAGGAGGAGGACTAGAAGAGGGAGGAAGGGGAGGGTTAGAAGAGGGAAGAGGAGGGGGAGAAGGGGGAGGAGGGAGACACAGACAGACCCAAGCCCCTGCCTTTTTCCTGCAGACCAGCTGCCCAGGCCGTCACTGGTGGCACTGACGGGGCCAGTGGTGGCTCCAGGAGCCAACGTGAGCCTGCGCTGTGCAGGCCGCTTGCCAGGCATGAGCTTCGCTCTGTACCGCGTGGGCGTGGCCACCCCGCTGCAGTTCCGGGACTCTGAGCTGCCCTGGGCGGACTTCGTGCTGCTGGGTGCCCCTGGCTCCTACAGCTGCTACTACCACACGCCTTCGGCTCCCTATGTGCTGTCAGGGCGCAGCAAGCCACTGGTCATCAGCTTCGAAGGTGAGGTGCTCTGGCCCTCTTCCCTGAGACCCAGGCGCCCAGACCCCAGCCCTCCTCCCTCAGACCCAGGGGTCCAGGCCCAGCCCTCCTCCCTCAGACCCAGGAATCCAGATCCCAGCCCTCCTCCCTAAGACCCAGGAATCCAGATCCCAGCCCTCCTCCCTCAGACCCAGGAGTCCAGGTCCAGCCCTCCTCCCTCAGACCCAGGGTCCAGGCCCAGCCCTCCTCCCTCAGACCCAGAAGTCCAGGCCAGCCCTCCTCTCTCAGACCCAGGAGCCCAGGCCCAGCCCTCCTCTCTCAGACCCAGGAGTCCAGGTCCAGCCCTCCTCCCTCAGACCCAGGGTCCAGGTCCAGCTCTCCTCCCTCAGACCCAGAACTCCAGACCCCAGCCCTCCTCCCTCAGACCCAGGAATCCAGATCCCAGCCCTGCCCCCTCAGACCCAGGGTCCAGGCCCAGCCCTCCTCCCTCAGACAGGGGTCCAGAGGGGTCCAGGCCCAGCCCTCCTCCCTCAGACCCAGGAATCCAGATCCCAGCCCTCCTCCCTCAGACCCAGGAGCCCAGGCCCAGCCCTCCTCCCTCAGACCCAGGTTCTAGGCCCAGCCCTTCTCCCTCAGACCCAGGAATCCAGATCCCAGGCCTCCTCCCTCAGACCCAGGGGTCCAGGCCCAGCCCTCCTCCCTCAGACCCAGGAGCCCAGGCCCAGCCCTCCTTCCTCAGACCCAGGTTCCAGGCCCAGCCCTCCACCCTCAGACCCAGGGTCCAGGCCCAGCCCTCCTCCCTGAGACTCAGGGGTAGACTACGGTCCCTTTTCTCATCAACCCTGTTGAACTTAGAGACTGGGAGTTGAGTCTTCAACTCTGCCCCTGGGTAAGCAACCTGGAAGGGCAACAAGACTTTGAGGGTCAGGGACTGATCCCCTGTCTCTCTATCCTTGGCTCACAGATTCTGGCTCCTTGGACTATACCCAGGGGAACCTCATTCGCTTGGGGCTGGCAGGCCTGGTCCTCATCTCTCTTGGCGTATTAGTTTCCTTTGACTGCCATAGCAGGAGCTCTGCATCTGGTGGCTTCCTGCCCCGGCGAGACTGGGTATAGATAGGAGGGGTGTGAAGAGTCTGCTAGGAGAAGAGAAGAGACACAGGGAGCCCTGGTGACCAGCCCCTCTGGAACCTCCAGTCCGCCAGGCTCAGCCGTCAACTATTTGCACTGTGGTTTCCTTCTGGGTGCTCCCCCAGACCTCTCAGCAGAGTGGATTTGCTGTCAGTAGTTAATGCCTCCAAACTGGAAGACTTGGGTTCAAAGCCTAGTGGTAAAACTCACTAGATCATTCAGAAGGCAAAAATCCCCAAGTCTGGTTTCCTGTTTGTAAAATGGTGTAATGTCACATACTACGATTGTCGTAGGGTTAATACAGAAAAGGCGTTTAAAAGCAGTGGCTGGGCTGTGGTAAAATATGCTCAATTGATGGTAGCTACTTTATCCTAGGTTAAAAGTTCCCTTCCCCTCCCATCCCTTTCCCTCCCTTCCCCTTTTTCCCTCCCCCTCATCCTCACCCCTCCCCTCCCCTCCCCTTCCTTTTTGGCCAAGTTGAGATAGCAGGGTTTTTTGTTTTTTTTTTTTTTTTGTCTTTTTTGGACAGGGGCTCCATGTAGCCCCAGCTGTCCTGGAGCTCACTGTGTAGACCAGGCTGGCCTTGAACTCACAGAGATCCACCTGCCTCTGCCTCCTGAATGCTGGGATTAAAGGTGTGAGCCACCATGCCTGGCAAGATTACAGTTTTATGCCACCACATCCAGTAATTACTTATTACATTTATTTTGGGAGGGGGTAGGGCACACATGCCATAGATTTTTTGTTGTTTTTGTTACATATATATTTTGTTATTGTTGTTGTTGTTGTTGTTGTTGTTTTGAGAGAGTGTCACTATGTAGCCCTGGCTGGCCTGAAACTCACTATGTAGACCAGGCTGGCCTTGAACTCACAGAGATCCACCTGCCTCTGCCTCCTGAGTGCTGGCACTAAAGGCATGTGCCATCACACCTGGCTTAAGATTTGTTTTTAATTATGTCTGTGTATATATGGCATATGTGTGGGTGCCCAAAGAGGCCAGAAGACAACATTGAGTCCCTTGAAGCTGGAGTTACAGGCAGTTGTGAGCCACCTGATATGGGTGCTGGGAACTGAACTCAGGTCCTCTGGAAGAGCAGCAACTGTTCTTAACCCCTGAGCCACCTCTCCAGCAGCTGCAGTGTTTGTGTGAGGTCAGAGGACAACTTTCAAGAGTCCATTTCCTCTTCTACCATGTGGGTTTGAACTCAGGTTGTCAGGCTTGGTGGCAAGCACCTCTACTTAATTACTGGTATTTGGGAAACAAAATCTTATTCTGTAACACAGGCCAGCCTTGAATTTACAGAAATCCTCCTGCTTAGGTCTCTTCAGTGCCAAGATTACATGTGTAAGCCGTCATGCCCACCTGGATTTTTTTTTTTTTTCTTTGCTTTGGGACAGGATCTCATTATGTAGCCCTGGCTGGCCTTGAACTCACAGACATCTGCCTGCCTCTGCCTTCTGAGTGCTGGGATTGAAGGCGTGCCCCATCATACCAGCTGGAAATAATTTAAAAAGAAATCATTTTATGGGGTATGGAGAGATGGTTCAGCAGTTAAGAGCACTGGCTGCTCTTGCAGAGGACCTAGGTTTGGTTTCCAGCACCCACAGGATAGCTAACAACCATCCAGCACTCCAGTTCCAGGAGATCTGATGTCCTCTCCTGTCCTCTGAGGGCATTGCATGACAGAGGTGCACTTACATACATTTAGACAATACACTCATACACATAAAATAAAAATAAAAATTAAACATTATTTTTAATTATAATTTTTTGACACAAGGTCTCCCTATAGCCCCAGCTGGCCTAGAACTCACTACATAGATCAGGTTGGCCTGTATCTTACAGAAATTCACCTGCTTCTGCCTCCTGAGTGCTGGGATTAAAGGTGTGTGCCACCATGCTTGGCATTTTATTTTTATTTTATGTGTATGAGCATTTTGCCTGCATGTATGTAAGTACAACAGGTGCATGCAATGCCTGTGGAGGTCAGAAGAGGGCATCAGATCCCCTGAAACTGGAGTTACAGACTGTTGTTAGCTGCCATCTGAGTGCTGGGAACTGAACTCAGGTCCTCTGCAAGAGCAACCAGTGCTCTTAACACTGATCCATCTCTCCAGCCCCCAGAAAATTCTTTTTGAAGGGTATTTACAGTGCTGAAACTTAAGGTCTTATATGCTAATTATGCAGTTATGTACCTTAGAGTGGATTGTGAGGCATATTGATCCTGATGCTGTCTGGGCAGTAAGGATCACTAAAAGTGATGATGTGGTTGTTCCTTTGTGCCACTGTGACCACATACCGGACAGAAACAGGGGAGGACTTATTTATTTGGGCTCTGGTTTCAGAGGAATCAGTCCATGGTCACTTTGCCTCCATATTTCTGGGCTGGTTGTGAAGCAGATCAAGTCAGAGGAGACTTCATGGTGAACAAGAAGCAGAAAAGAATTCCAGCTAAATTTTGTCATTTTGAGATAGGGTCTCCTTGTAGCCCCAGCTGGCCTGGAACTCACTCTGTAGACCAGGCTGGCCTTGAACTCACAGAGATCCTCCCGCCTCTGCCTCCCAAGTGCTGGGATTAAAGGTGTGCATACTTCCACCTCTTTCCAGCTCAATTTTTAAGCACCTCTCCATCACTCCCTTCCTAATATCTCCCTTGTTCATCAACCCAACCCTTTCTAAGCTCCTTACTGCAGAGTAGATGAAAAACCAGACCAATTACTACTACATTTGTAAGCGGCTCTTCACCTGGATCTGTCTTTACCTTCAACGGGAACTTAGCCCTGGAAACGGAATCTCTACTTGGTCCTCTTCCCACTAGGTTCTTGGCTGCCCTCACAGTTGTAAAAATAACACAAGCCACTGCTCCTTGCCATATGTTTTCTTGTTGTGTCTCTGCTGTTCACCAAGGCGTGACTGACTTCCAGTTTCCCCGGATTTTATTCATTTAACTTTTATTATTAATCTGGCTAAATGATGTTCTGCCATCCTATACACACAAACTCCATCTGGAAGCAAGTCCTGTCACTTGGTATTCCTGTGTTTCTTGACTTCTGCTCTGATGCAGCGCACACCCTTCTGTTCTCATGTCTCCCACTTTCCATCTTTTCGTTTCCCACTTAAAGAAGATCGTGACTTCCTGATTTTGAAAGCTCTGCCATCTTGGATAATCTTGAGCAATGTAGGGAATCTTCCAAGCTTTCATCTGTGCCAAAAAATTAATTATTTAAAAACATGTCAGCTTTAGCGAGAATTAAATGAAGAGAATACATTCCCACCACATAGAGAAAGACAGGAAACTTAACTCCCTCCTTCTCTCCCTACTTCCCTCCCTCCCTCCCTCCATTTAGGTAGCTTCTTTATCCATTTCTGCCTTCCTTCCTTCTTTCCTTCCTTCCTTCCTTCCTTCCTTCCTTCCTTCCTTCCTTCCTTCCTCCTTTTTGGTTTAAAAATGTTTTAAAATGTATTTTCAAAGCTGGGTGTGGTGGTGTGTGCCTTTAATCCCAGCACTCAGGAGGCAGAGGCAGGCAGATCTCTGTGAGTTCAAGGTCAGTCTGGCCTACATAGTGAGTTCCAGGCCAGCTGGGGATACAGGGAGACAGACCGTCTCAAAAAGACCAAAAATAAATAAATATATGAAATAAAATGTAGTTTTTGGACAGGCACATAGGTTAAGGACAAAGTTTACATCACAACCCTGTATGAAAAAATATATATATGCACAAAATTTTTTATGTGTGTGAGTGTTTGACCTGCACATAAGTGTACTATGTGACTTCAGTGCCTACAGAGGTCAGAAGAGGGCATCGGATCCCCTGGCACTGGAGTTACAGATGGTTGTTAGCTGCTGTGTAGGTACTGGGAATTGAACTCAGGTCCTCTGCAGGAACAGACAGTGCTCTTAACCATTGAGCCATCTCTCCAGTCCCATCAGGGATGGAATTCTTGTTAGGCTTGGCGGTAAATACCTTTACCCTCTGAGCCATCTCACCAGGCTCCCAATGGTCTTTTTGGTGGGCCTTTTGTGTGTATAATGTATATATAATGTATAATGGTTATTTGGGTTAAAGTTAGATAGTAGGGCCAAAATCTTAGGATCATGTTTAGTCAAGGTGTTATGGGCTGTGGGTTTTACAGACCCTTTTCTCTTCAGATGGCTGTAGTAAGTGTGTGGGTCACATGGAAAACCTAAGTTGAATTTGTGTAGATGTCAAGTCTCATTCTGCCTCGGCTGGAGAGCATCCATAGTGGGAGCAATTTGTTCTGCTTTTTCCGTTGATGTGGAATTATTCATAGGCCCCTCAGATTCCCTGACCTGTGTGAGGCTTCCTGTCACATACAGTGAAAGCCTGTGTCTGTGGAACTGCTACCTACTGTCAGTCAACCAGATGGCCTCAGGCTAGGGAAGTGGGGAATCTTGTAGATCTGGTCCAGCACCCCAGGCAAGCTCAATAGCTTCTACACAGGAATGCTGTGAAAGGGCCTTGGGGCTAGGATTTGGCAGTAAGGCAGTGTTGTGTGACAGAATTTTCCTGGGGAGGTGCAACACATGCATCTATTCCCTCCAGGAAGGGAACTCATAACAGAGCAAAGTAATGACTGCACCAAAGTCCAACTTGGTAAGTCAGTGAGTATTGGGGTTACTAAGAGGAGTATGGGTGAAGGTTATAGACCGGAGCAGGGACAACCTAGAAGCAGCTGCACCACTGAAAAACCCACTTGGATGAAAAGCTGCAAAGCCAGCATTTCAACAGTCCAACAGCCCAGGAATCTCCCCTCTGAAGCTTGGCTGATCCGAGAGTCCTTGAGTCCTGGTAGTTGTTTACACTTCCTATAAAGCTGGGGAGTGGGTGGCTCCTCCTCCTCCTCCCCTTCCTCCTCCTCCTCTTCCTCCTCCTCTTTTTCTTTCTCATTTTCTTCCTCCTTCTCTTCTTTTTAATACTTATTTATGTGTCTGTCTCTGTATCTGTGTCTGCTCTCTTGTGGAGGTCAGAAGATAACTTTAGGGAGTTGGTTCTCTCTCTCTACCATGTAAATCCCAAGAATTGAATCCAGGCTTCTCAGCAAGGGCTTTTCCCTATGGAGCCATCTCACTGATCCCCCATATGACTTCTTTACAGCCAGATGTATGTGTTGCATGGTAAATTATATGGTTGCAGTGGCCAGGAGTCTATCCATGAGAAACTGGAAGCCTTTCCACCTTCATACTTGAAGGCTATTGGTGTCTTCTAGGAAAGCTGTTAGGGTCTTCAAAGGTAGTAATGACAGGGGTGACTTAGTAAGCATCCAGGAATGGAGCTATCTCAGATTTTGGGGTAGCTTGT